ATCCGTTTGACTGAAAAGTAGTCTACAAAGATGTGCACAACTCCTCCTCCCACCTCGGTCGTTCTCACTATCCGTTTGACTGAAAAGTAGTCTACAAAGATGTGCACAACTCCTCCTCCCACCTCGGTCGTTCTCACTATCCGTTTGGCTGATTGATGTGAATCTTTGTAATGAATGCTCGATCCCCATTACAGGATGTCAGAGCGCTCCTTACCTAGGTAGTTTCTAAGCCTTTGGACTGCAAGAATGGAAACACTGAGGTGAAAGGTGCGCCAGCAATTGGCTGAAGATATTGCACATTAGCACTATATGTAGTATCTACGCAATGCCCAGCGTACCCGACCTCGCCGCTGTGGTCTTGCAGGATGCGCTCTTCCCCCCGGCGGTAGCATCACGGACCAGCCATATCCTCCCCTGCAAAACAGCAGCGGCCAAAACGGCACCGCCTACTGCGCCTAGCTGCGTTACCATGGCCCCTGCACCACCGGAGGAGGATGCTGACTGCTCTACAGGTGGAGATGGACACGAGCCGCCCATGGTCATGGGGGTGGGCCGGAGCTGTCGCCTCCACTACCAGTGTTCGCACTGCCACCCGCAGTAGCCTCAGCATTCGCCGGTGCGATCGCGGTTGCGCAACTGCGTGGGCGTGCTGAGATAGCGTTCATCAGCAGACGCAATCGGTGGGGGAAAGGCGGTGTACTTGCACGTAGTGTTTGTTGTTGTAGGCCCATCACAGATCAGCCAGAGGAAACGGAGAGGTAGACGGAGGGCAGGGTGCCGCCGACGCAGCAGACTGTTGAGAATTCCCAAGAAATGGGTGGAAGGGTTGTCGTCCGTTCGAGCCGACTTGCACGGCGGATAGTGCAGGATCTGGCGTGAATGACAATTTGTACGACAGAATTGTCGTCGCATGGATCCTCGATCGTTGTTCCGCTCCCATGTCACTCAAGACCTTTCAAATTGCCTGTCGGATCGATCGTGAATGCAGCCCAGCGTCCAACGCCGTTCCCATTTCGATCTTGCAGTATCTCCACCACCGACACCTCCCCGCTAGGATCATTCCTTGCTTCACGACTACGCTTCAGCGTCCGATGAACGAGCAGGTGGGTATCCAGAAGATGCGTGAACGCCTTGCCCAGCAGCGGACGTACCGCACAGGACGAGAAGGCGCTTGGTGATTCTTCTTTGGTCTTGGCGGATGAAGCTGTGCCGTTGACTATGGCTGTGCATAGACCGTGTGTGCTAGAGAGGTGAGACAACGACCGCGTGAAAGACATTAGCAGAGCTTGGCCATGTGCGTAGTTGCTTTTGAGCAGGGGACCGATGACTTGCGGGAGGTTGTCGATCAAGACCAGCCCATGTGCTTGAGGCGCAGGCACGGGATTCGGTCTCGCTTGCTTCGCAGGCTGGTTCGAAGGACTCTCAATGTCCAACATCTCGTCTTCATCCTCGCTGTCTCCGATCGTGCCTTTGGGACCTGAATGTGGTCGAATGCCGACGGTGGGTGCCCTGCGCGGTTCTTCTAACGACTGGCGTAGCTCAGAGATAGCGTCTGTCAACCCTTCGAAGTCGAAGACTTTCATTATTTTCAGTCTGTCCAGCACTCGCAAAGCCTCCTTCGAAGCATTCGCTCCGCCCTGGAAGCGTGATGTGACGGATTGGTAAATCTTGCGGATGTCGGAGAACGAGCCCGTGTCGACGACTGTCACCGTTGTATGAGTCGAGCTAAGCAGATGCGCTGTCACAATTGCTTCGCATAGCTCCCGTTCGCCGCTACCAGGTTCGGCGCTCACGCAGGTGACTTGACCTGGTCCTAAGCAGCGTCCAAGAACATCCTCCAGCTCCTTGACGCCGGTCGCAGAGAGCCTCGAATGGAGTGGTTTGGAGCCGCAGTCTCCCTTTGCTTGAGCCGGCTGCCATAACGCGGAAGCGAGTATCGGCTCAGCTGGCATGGCCATAGTCACGGCGATGGCAGCGGACGAATGATGCCTGCTTGGCACGCTTTTGTTACGCTTGGGCTGTGGTCGTCGGTAGATTTGCAGCTAGTGTACTGCAGGTCACAAATGAAAGGTCCTCTGAAAGTCCATATGCTCTACAGCATAACGTCCTTCCAATAGCTGGTTGAGGAGATAGTGATTCGCGTGGCCATTGACATGCTGATGGGTCTGTTCACCGGCAGGTGGTTAAAGCACAGCCCGACCTTTTTTCGATTCTGCGTCTTTCGTTTGCTTGATAGATAACAGGAAACCTGTCTGCTGACGTGTTGTCTCCATTTAATGGTCGAAGTAGAACAGGTGAGGTCTCCTGCTTCAAGTGGGGCCATCAAAACGCGCCTTCGCGACTTCCTCCTTCCTCCTTTGCCAGCCAACCTCACTCCTTATCTTTACGAGTATTCTATGGAGCAACATAGTTCAGGAGTTCAGCATAGCACCGCAGATGACTTTGTGATGGTTGAACATGCTACGCAAGGTGGCACGAAGGCGAAAGAGTCCTACCTTGATGCCATTTCGAGCGCCGTCGAGGGCATTAGCGACGAACTGCGGACCATCTCCCTTGACATTCACGACCATCCAGAGCTACAATACAAGGAGTTTCACGCCCATCAAATCCTCACGGATTATCTACGGAATCAAGAAGGGTGGAAAGTGACTCCCTCAGCGTACGATATCAAGACCGCATTTGTTGCTGTATTCGACAGTGGTAGAGAAGGCCCGGTAGTATCATTCAACGCTGAGTATGGTGTGTTGCAGTCTCTCTCCTGAGGAGCGGAGGTAGGTCTGACGGCAAAAACAGATGCATTGGCCGGCATTGGGCATGCCTGCGGGCATAACCTCATAGCCATCGTGTCTCTGGGAGCTGCTCTGGCGACTGCTGAGCTGCTCCGACAGAAAGATATCGGTGGCAGAGTTGTGTTGTTTGGCACGCCAGCAGAAGGTTTGTGCGATTCAGAGCAGCAATGGACGTTGTCTCGCTCATCATTGATCCTGGGAGTGTGCTGATGTAACTTACAGAGGGCGGTGGCGGCAAGAAGCGACTACTAGACGCTGGCGCGTACAAAGACAACCAGGTTGATATCTCACTGATCACGCACCCTGGCATCTCACCTGACGCTGCGCTGGTGCGGACTGCTGCGTACTCTGCTTTAAAAGTCGAGTTCTTTGGAAAGGAGGCACATGCTGCGGCTCGTCCCTGGGATGGGATCAACGCTCTGGACGCACTTATTATAGCCTATAACTCCATAAGCGTCCTTCGACAGCAGACCCAGGCCGGCGACATCATACAAGGCCAAATCACAAACGGTGGACTACGACCGAACGTGAGTTGAAGGAGACAAGCCCTCTCGAAGTTCGTGAAATGCTAATTCCCTTCTGTTCGCCACTCACAGATCATACACGCCTACGCAGCAGGCAGATTCGTTGTCCGCTCAAGCTCCAAGAAGCGTCTCGAGGCTCTAGTCAAGCGTGTCACAGCCTGCTTTGAGGCTGGAGCACACGCGACCGGGGCTGAGTTGAAGGTTACACCCGGTATGTCCTACAGCGACCATGTCCCCAATCGTGCTCTTGGTAGGCAGTACAGACAGTCCTTCAACCGACTAGGTGGTCGGATCCCAACGGAAGAGCTTGACATCCTCGATGCAGTTACACAGGCTTCCACCGACCAGGGAAATATAAGCCACGCGTACCCCAGCATATCTCCGAACTTCTGGATACGGTCTGAGAGCGACGGTGGGGAACAGCTCGGCGGCCCGCACACACCTGATTTCGAAAAGGCCGCTCGAAGCGAAGAGTCGCATGAACTTGCGAAGAGGGCTGCGAAGGCATTGGCTGCGACGGCGGTTGGGGTTCTCACGGATCCAGACTTACTGGCTGACGCGAAGAAGGAGTTTGAAGACATGGTCGAGACTGAAGGGAGGGCATGAGCTGAACGGTGTACGATTTTCGTGCAATCGCGGACAGTGTGTTCATCCTCACAGCTCGAACTTTTGGCGCAGAAGCGGCCCAGCTCACTCCCCCAAACACAGCAGCCTACCACCATTGGCTCATCGCCCCCGCCATGGAATGTGCGACACGAAGCAAGGTTGCAGATCTGTATGTATTGCCACCGAACCCGTGGAGTACCGCTGTGGCTGCTCGTGCTGGTCTCCAGGAACAGGGCCTATGACGTGACGCCTCATACATTCCAATGGACGACGCCACAACATCTACATGCCGGCAATCGATCTTCCTGGTCATTCATCGAATGCTGTGCGACGTTCCATGATCGACAACACTGCTCAGTGGCGATGGCGTGCTGTATATGTATGCGACGAGTTCCTGGTTGTCGGTTCTCTACGCCTCACCCACGCTGGAAACTTGTCGATCACGTACCGGATACAGCACCCTAAGATCACCCAGCAGCTTGACCACCGGTCACCCTTGGGACTTCCTAGCTTCCTGGAAACATCGCGATGCTGTTCGTCCTCTTCACCTTCGCCTTGAGTGTCAACGCAGTAGTGCTTCAACCCCAACCTCGACCTGCACGACCGGGCGGCGTGGCCGTAAGAGATGTCGTCCCATCAGCTTCACCCGTCGTCGCCGTCGTGAATGCAACAATTCCAACCACCAACGCAGCCGGCACCACCGACCCACCCGCTGCCCGTGTCAACGAAGCTTCCGCAGAATGCATCCCGAGATCAATATGCTTCGATGGGCGCAGCTGCAGTGTCAGATACGGCGGGTAAGCCATCTACCACCTCGGAAGCATCGTATCGATCGGATGCTAACACACGCCAGCTGCTACGATGCCAACTACTGCGACGGCAATACCTCGCCGTTCCCCGTCCCAACCTGCGGTCCAACTGACGTCGCACGTGGGCTCACTCACCACCGGATTGCTGTCGAGCATGAGTTGGAAGGCGGAAGGGCTGCGGCTGTTGTGAGACATGGGCAATGATGTGATGCTGGACGACGGGTTTCTTACGAGGTTCACGAACTCTTGTCTTCCGATGATGTTGTTTCGACTGAGAGATATGCTTTCTGCAACGATGAGGTTTGGAATGGTACATACTTGACGGCTGGGGTAGCGTAGCTTCTCGAGAGAACGCTGTATGATATGTGGCCTCTTACCAGACTGCGGATTGGTGTGCAATCGAAGTTTGTCAGTCTCGTGGAGATTAGAGAGCCAACTTCTCTTACTTCTCCATCTCCATCTATGACAGCCTGCGAGATGTAAACCTCAAGTGTTGTTGCTTTGCTTACGCCCGATGGACATACTCGCTTTACAGAAGAAGCCGTGATGATAAAGCCGGATCGGACGAAACCTTCAAACCCTAGCTTGCTCCAGTGGCGGATCCAGTCCGGTATTCTATACATGTACCTTACCTCACAACACGACGCCCAGCACGATCTATAATATAAAAGGACTGTACACTGCAGCCCACCTGAACAGTTACAGCCAGACGACATCCACAGCAAGACTTCGCAGGGACACGCCTTCCGCCATTGACTTTACACCGACTCACAATCCACGACCAGCACACCTCAATCATGCCCGTCGTAATCCACTGCGCATACACCGAAGCAGTCAACCCATCCGGAGCCTCGCCAGTCCTCACCAGAGACCAGATCTGGAACGGTATGCAACGCAAAATCCGGAAGGCGCAGGATTTCGTGCCTATCATCGACGGATGTGATGTCCTTGAAGAAAAGCATACTGAGGTATGCCTCTGACACTACCTATGCATGATGGATTGCTACTGACCAAGGGCATAGGTCGTGCGAGAAGCACATTTCATGGAATTCAACGGCAATCCGCCGAAGTCTGTGAAGGAGGTTTGCAAGAGTTATTATCCTACCAAGGTATCCTTCCTCTTCGCAACCTTTGCCAGTTGCTAGTGCTAATGACATGCTCAGGTCGATTTCTGGCAGCCAGACGGCACTCTGATCACGAACACGGTATCTGATGGCTCCAGCTTGGAGGAAGCCGACCTCAACATGACTTATACTTTTGAGTGGAGATATCCTAATGTTGAGGAGGGGAGTGAGGATCATAAGCAGAAGCTGGAGGCTTCGAGGAAGGGTGCGAAGCAGGCGGTGCATTCGAGCATTGAGGCTATGCGGCGGATGGCGAGTGCTGGGGAACTGGACTAGATGAAGCGGCGTTCTGACTCTCGAATCATAGGTATAATATCATCTCGTTGTCATTGTTCTCGTGATAGGTCTACATCAAGCCTCTAGAGCCTCTTCCTTGATTCTCTTTCTTACTTCAGATGGCATGAGCATCCTTCAACAGCTGCGGCAGCTGGCCCTTCTTCGACTGCAACTCGCTGTTGCCGCCAATGTGCTTGTGGTCGATGAAGATGTTCGGTACGGAGCGTTGGTGGGTGATCTCCTCGAGAGCGTCTTGGATCGCGGCGCCGTCATCTGTGCGGCTAAAGTCAGCGACCGGCCTCCACGCGCCGTACGACGTGGTGCAACTTACCGACTTGGTCGAGCTCGATGATGTACGGCTTGACGCCCATCTCGCTCAGCAGCGACTTGGTGGACTTGCAATATGGGCAGTAGGACTTGGAGAAGACAGCTGCTCGCCTCCGTCAGTAAGCGCTTCCTCGGGCATGCCGTCCCAGGATGTCTCTATACGTACCGACTGCATTGTTGTCGATGATCTCCTGTGCCTTCGTCTTCGCGGCCATGATTGTTTGTGGACTCGTAGAGCCAAAGAATCTGCGTAGGAAACTAATGGTGGGCGACTGGTGGTAGTGGTGCTTTCGGTTGATCGATGGGTTTTGATTAGAATTTGACAACAATCGTTACGTCTCTGATTACAGAACAACAACCGATGGTTCTAGACTGAGGCGCGCGATGACGTGCACAGATGGAATCAACCACCGTCTATCTCAGCGCTCACACCCCTAGCACGCCATCCCGCTTGCAGGTGGCAACAGGCGCGCATCCGTTGTTTCCGCGCTGAGACGGATCAAACGCCATCGTCAACGGCATCCACCGGGATAGCGTTCTCGGCGAAGGTTCTGCCCACACGTCACCTCCATCTTTCTCCAAGCCTTTCAAAGCCTTTATCCTTGGCCTGGACCACACCTCCTCCAATTGCTGTGATTGCCAGTGGCCACGGCGGGCTTAGCCACGTGCGGATGCTTGCTGGTGATATCGCTATCGCGCTCAATGGCCCCTCCGCCCTTGGCAGTCTTCCTCAGGCGTCTCCGCCCCCCACCGCATGGCGTGGCCTTCTGGCATGTGGAAATGCCTGCGCCCAGCGGGCTGGGAATTTCGAGTATGCCCTTTGAAGTGGTAACGAAAGTCAACCATGGAACAAAATACCCTGCCACACCCACCGATGTCACACTGCGTGCAGGCGAGCAAACTGACCTCCGCGGGCTGTCAAGGCGGTCTAGGTCGTAGAGCTCTTCAAACTCCGTCGATCCTTCCAAGAAGACTCTCGGGAGGACCCAGCCAAGGTCCCAAGACACAATACCAAGACACGGCCTCTTATCCATCATCGCAGGAAGTTACGATGGAGTCTATAAGAACTCAATCACCCCGCAGGTAGGTGCATCGTTGCTTGTTTGATCAAGAACTTGAAGAGGGATCTAGCCTTTCACTTTCACAATCGTTTCATTGATTCATCCCTTACTTGATCGCTCGAATACCTACAAACCTACATATCTAAGGTACTTTTGTCGAAACTACTGAACCACTGTCACCCCCAAAATGGGCGGGAAGGACGAACCATCGCTCGAGGAGCATGTCTCGGGACAGTCCAACAAACCAATCTCTGCACCAGCTCACAATCTGCCATGGGCTACAGTTGCAGAGGAACTGAAAGCAGACACCGACGATGGCCTTACAGCTGACGAGGCGAAGAAAAGACTGGAGGAGTATGGCAACAATGAACTCGGCGACGCCGGTGGGGTCAACCCAGGCAAGATTCTGCTTCGACAAGTTGCCAACGCCATGACCTTGGTACTCATCATGGCCATGGCTGTATCTTTCGGCATTGGCTCTTACATTGAAGGAGGTGTCATCGCAGGTGTGATTGGCATCAACATCACTGTCGGCTTCGTTCAGGAATTCCAAGCGGAAAAGACCATGGACTCGCTGCGGTCGTTGAGCTCTCCCACCGCCACCGCGGTGCGAAACGGCGAGACAATCAGTGTTCCTACCAAAGAAATTGTTCCGGGCGACATGGTCGAACTGAAAACTGGTGACACCATCCCCGCCGACGTCCGACTTGTCGAGGCCGTCAACTTCGAATCCGACGAAGCACTCTTGACTGGTGAATCGCTTCCGGTGCGAAAGGAAACTGAAACCACCTTCGATGCCGACACTGGCCCTGGCGATCGCCTCAACGTCGCCTACAGCTCCGCGACTGTCACCAAAGGACGTGCATCCGGCGTGGTCTTTGCCACGGGCATGTACACCGAAATTGGCACCATTGCTGCTGCGCTTAGAAAGAAGGACAGCAAAGTCCGACAGCCGAAGCGAGACGATGATGGTCACGCGAAGCCGCACCGATACATGCAAGCTGCCATTCTGACCTGCTCTGATGCTGTCGGCCACTTCCTCGGCGTCAACGTTGGCACCCCTCTGCAGAAGAAATTGTCGAGACTCGCAGTGTTGCTGTTCTTCATTGCCGTCGTCTGCGCCATCATCGTCTTGGCGGCTAACGATTTCAGCGACGAAACCGAAGTCATCATCTACGCCGTCGCCACGGGTCTTTCTATGATTCCAGCCTCCCTCGTCGTCGTCCTGACCATCACCATGGCCGCAGGCACGAAGCGCATGGTCGAAAGGCACGTCATTGTCCGCAACCTGCGTTCGCTGGAGGCTCTCGGAGCGGTCACGGACATCTGCTCCGACAAGACTGGTACACTCACCCAGGGCAAGATGGTGGCGAAGAAGGCCTGGATCCCGGCAAGAGGCACTTACACCATCGGCGAGACCAGCGAGCCCTTCAACCCTACTTCTGGCCCAATATCCTTCACCGACAGATTTCCCAAGGACATGGCCGAGCACGACTCGCCAGGCGACGATGCCGACTACGTGCAACTCCTGGAGGACAACCAAGAACTCAAGGACTACCTCAAGGTCGCTTCCCTTGCCAACCTTGCCCACGTGCACCAGAACGAAAGCCAAGAATGGATCGCTCGTGGTGACCCAACCGAGATCGCCATTCAAGTATTTGCCTCCCGCTTCAAGGGCTGGAACAGGCGAGCATCCGTTGCTGGACCGACTGCGGGCGAGAACCCTTCGTACAAGATGCTGGCTGAGTTCCCATTCGACTCCGATGTCAAGAAGATGAGTGTTCTCTACAAGGATATCAAAAGTGAGGAGATGCATGTCTACACCAAGGGCGCCGTCGAGCGTGTCATCGAGTCTTGCACAACGTACGTTGCAGCAGACAGCGAAGGCAAGACCGTGGAAATGACTGAGGAATATCGCGAGCACATTCTGGAGAACATGGAAGGGCTTGCCAAGCTCGGTCTTCGTGTCCTTGCGCTGGCCAGCCGAGGCTACAACGAGAAGTATGAGGAAGGCGTTGAGATTGATCGCAACACCATCGAGCACGAGCTTTCCTTCCGTGGACTCATTGGTCTCTACGATCCTCCACGACCCGAATCAGCCACATCGGTCAAGCAATGTCACCAAGCAGGTATCGAAGTCCACATGTTGACTGGTGACCACCCTGGTACTGCTCGCGCTATCGCCGGCCAGGTCGGCATCCTGCCTTCGAAGATGAACGAACTCAGCAAAGATGTCGCCGACTCCATGGTCATGACGGCTTCTCAATTCGACAAGCTCTCCGACGACGAGATCGATCAGCTACCTGTGCTTCCATTGGTCATTGCTCGCTGTGCGCCAAACACCAAAGTCCGCATGATTGAAGCCCTCCATCGACGCAAGCGATTCTGCGCCATGACCGGAGACGGAGTGAACGACAGCCCCAGTTTGAAGCGCGCAGATGTCGGCATCGCCATGGGTCAAGCCGGCTCTGACGTCGCCAAAGACGCCTCGGACATTATTCTCACCGACGACAACTTCGCCAGTATCCTCGCCGCCATCGAAGAAGGACGCAGGACTTTCGACAACATCCAGAAATTCGTGCTCCATCTGTTGGCCCAAAACATTGCTCAGGCTTCCACGCTCCTCGTCGGTCTGGCTTTCAAGGACCGTCGCAATCTCTCCGTCTTCCCGCTCGCACCAGTCGAGATCCTGTGGGTCATCATGATAACGTCCGGTATCCCAGACATGGGTCTCGGTTTCGAAATCGCTGCCCCAGATGTCCTCCGCCGGCCACCGCAGAGCTTGAAGCGCGGCATCTTCACCATCGAGCTCATGGTCGACATGTTGTTCTACGGCATCTGGGCCGGAGCGCTCTGTTTGGCTGCTTTCGTCATCGTGCTCTACGGCTTCGCCAATGGCATTGGACAGGCTGAAGGTTGCAACGACAGCATTGGTGGAGGATGTCAGGAGGAGTTCCGGGCACGAGCTACTTGCTTTGCCTGCATCACCTGGTTCTCGCTGTTCTTGGCTTGGGAGTGTCTTGATATGCGACGGTAAGTGCAACCCTTCTTGCCTTGGTTGAAAACTTACTGATACTGTTCCCAGATCGTTCTTCCGCATGCAGCCCGACTCGAAGAAGTACTTCACCCAATGGATGTTCGACGTCTGGCGCAACAAGTTCCTCTTCTTCGCCGTCATGGCCGGCTTCATCACCATCTTCCCGATTCTTTATATCCCTGTTCTCAACACCACCGTCTTCAAGCACACTGGCATTAGCTGGGTAAGTCGGCCTCCACTACTATACCACAGAACACCACGCTAACATGACCTCAGGAATGGGCCATTGTATTCATCGAAGCCATCCTATTCTTCGCGGGCTGTGAGGGCTGGAAGTGGGGCAAGCGCATCTTCTTCAGGCGCCGCGCGAAGAAGAACAACGTCGGTGGTGGCGATACGGATGATCTCGAGTCGAAGATGTTCTCGCGATACATGACGGGCGATTCTGCGACGTCCGACAACGAGCAGAACGAGAAGAACGAGAAGTCGGACGGCAGCTCGTGATGGAGAGATACCCAAGCGTGTGAGTAGATAGTTTTCGAGATGAGTATATGCTATAGAAAGTTCAAAAAGTCTATATTTCCATCAAGCACCGCTTCCTCCTATCGCTTCGCCATTCCTTCGGCCTTTTCTACTCGGTCCGCTATGCAGCTGTTAAATTCCTTCCGTATCTCAAACGGCGCAACATGTCCGATGCCTTCCTTGAACATCTTCGTCACGCCCGCTTCCTCACCACCCAGCTCCCTCAGCATCATCTCAGCATGTATGAAATTGATCATCTGATCCTTTGTGCCATGCAGAACCAAGATCCTCTCACGCCCCACAGCGTCACCCAATGCTTTTATCTGCTCCGCAGACTTATGATGGAAACCCGCCGCATACAACTGGCACATAAAGCCCGTCCTCGTGAACGTCCCTGGCGAAGTGCGTTTGCTTATCTCCCCGGCAGCGAAACGATCTCCATTAGTAGGGAAAGCTTGGACCTCGAACTCGGTTTCATCGGGTTTTGCGAGCCATTCAGCGGAGTAGCAGTCCGCTTTGACTTTGGCTATCTGTTCGTCGAGCGGTTTGGGCCACATGAGGTTGATGCGGTTGCGAATGTTCTCCACGAAGGGCAGGGTGCGGACGATGCGGGGGGCGGTGGAGACGAGGTTGAGGCTGCATATTCTTTGGGGGATGAGGAGGCCCTTGGTTCGTTAGTATGACGGTGTTCTTGCCCTTGGCTGTCTGGGTTTCTTGCAACTTACGAGTTCTTGTGCGATCATCCCGCCCATACTGATACCAACGACGTGCACGCTCCGATCCTCAGTCCAGCCGACGTGATCAAGTAGCTCAATTACATCTTTCGCCATTTCCGAAGTGGTATACCGCAACAAGGGCTTATCGCTAAGCCCCATACCTCGATTATCAAACACAAGGCACGTATACTTGTCCGCCTCACTATGGCCAAAGTCCTTCGTCTGCCGCTGCCAGGTCTTCATGAACCCGCCGAGACCCATGATCCAGATGACATGGCGAGGCCCGTGACCGTGTAGTTCGTATGCGAGCTTGAAAGGGCCGCCGCGACCTTTTGCCACATCGATCTTGTCCGAGGCGGTGGGTTTGAGGTCCCAGTGGACGTGTCTGAGACAGAGTCAGTGAGGTTATAGAGTGAGATGTGGCGCTTAGTTGGTCGCACGGGTACTCAGGATGTTGTTGGACTTCCTCTGCGGTTAGAGGGCATTGTCCATATTCCGCGAGTTCCGGGTGTTGTTGGCTGGGGGTGGTCATCGCTTGTGTCGTGAAGGCGTCCGCTTGTACGATAGCTCAATCACCTAGTGCTCCGATGGGTCGATGGTAGATGCTTTTCTTCTCCAGCGCTTTGGGTCTAGATTCGTGATATCCAATATCCGGTCGTGTGCATGTGATGGGCGAAGTTCCTGGTTGGTTGCCGCTCGGCGCCGGCTCCAAAAAGTCTCACCCAATTTTTCCACTTCACCTCGTCCTTGCGTCCCACAATGTTCATTCATCTCCATTGTGCAACTTCTCGACACCGCAGACGGATCATCAAGCCCGCCTCGTCCTACACAGTCCATCATTCCGCTGCTGACAGGTGACGGCGAGTACTATGACCGCTTATTCCTCGACCACAAGCCATGGTGAGGGCGACTGATGAGGACTCCATCTGACCTACCACACCATCCTGCACAAGTCTGTCGTTTCATACTCTATCCACCTTCTCTCTACAGTCCTCCTTGCGCAGCAGAGCCCCCTTCCTTCATGCTATCATATATCTACCAGTCCACCTTCCAAGATGCCCCCATCGAAGCAACCTCAGACTCCCGGATCCTCAAGTTCTCATCATGCTTCTGCATTACACACTCGCTTCTCTACTCTTCTCAACTCTCCTTCAAGTCCAGGCCTTAGCTGTTGAGCGTCGGCAAGATGCATCTTCAGATGTTGGGCCGTACATCAGTCAAATCCGGACCGCTCTCTACGTGATCGCCAGCACCAAGGCGGACAACACCTCGGCTTCTTGTGCCGATTCCTCGCTGCCAGCGATGCTGGATAGCGAAGGCTACTATGGCACTTATGCGCATCAACTACTGTATGCTTCTCAATCGCAGAGATCAATCACATAAAAGTGCTGACGCTATTACCAGCTGCGAGACGGCGATTGGCATACAGATCTGGCCAGATATCGATCAAGCTTCAGACGACTTGACAGCGACGCTCGAAGATCTCTATAGTGTGCAGAGTGGCGGCACGGCTGCTGCTCGAGCTGACAGCTGTCGGGCCATCAACCTGGCGACTCTCGATCAAGCCGGTCTTGATGGGTCTGGTATGCAGGACGTCGTCTGCGGAGACACGGCGGCAGAACCCTCCACCACGTTACCCATCTCGGAGACTGCCATTACAACTCTCACATGGACGACATCAGATGATGCCACGCTTTCCACAGCCTCTGGAGTCGAGACATCTTCGTCAGTGCCGACAAGTCTCTCTACGACTACATCGTTGCTGGAGACATCCACGCCTCTCACTACTTCATCATTGGAAGCGACACCATCTCCAGCGTCTACACTGCTGACCTCTGCGACACCAAGTGCCAGTATCTCACCGGCAGGCAGCGGCAGTATGAGCAGTCCGCCAGCCTCATCCGCGCCCTCTTCTTTGATGTTCACTTTTATCTCAGCCAATTCTTCGACAACCGCAACACTCGTGTCTGGAACCGCGGCAGGCTTCCCACCGCTCTCAAACCAGACTGCGCTCCCATCAAACAGCTCAATGGCCTCTTCAAGTACCGGTTCCGCAGTCCTCCCGACCATCAGCGCAGCCACATACAGTCCACCGAGCAACAGCTCCGCACCACCAGTGGTAATCGTCACTTCCTACACAACCACGACCTTCATCCTTGGTTCGCCCCTCTCCTTCTCAAGCTCCTCCCCAAACAATCCAAACATCACGACCACGACAACTACCTTCACAATGACAGATACCATCTACATCACCACTACCGTCGTAGGTGGGCAAAGCACCTCTCCGCCCCTGGCCTCAGGCGCTTCGCAGCATGGACCATGGCATTGGACGGGCGCGTGGCCGCCGTATCCTTATGGACTGGGTTATCAGTGGCCGAGGCCTACTGGTTCGGTGGTGAGGCCGACAGGAGTGATGACGAGTGGTGGGGGATATGGAGTGCTCGGGACTGCATCACCAAGTGAGAGCTGTTCTGAGGGGTGGTGAAGTCTTTGATTTATTTGTGTGATCCTATTTCATGAGCAGAAGGACTGGCGTTTTGGTTCAGCAATAGAATGTGGCGGTTGGGTGTAGGATGTTTCGGCTCCTTTTCTCAGGCACAAGGCTCGGACAGGAGAAGATATAGTAGCATGAAACCCGTTGGGCTCGCGGAGAAGTATACTATCTCACTTCGTTAAGTTAAAACCCGCACAAATGTCTCATCTTCCTGTCATGATGTCTGGTCCGATGCTAATCACCTCTGGGTACATGTCGAGCTGTGTTACATTGGAATCGACCTTGCCTTGCTAGAGCGCGGCGAAAGAAGAGAGACATCATCAAGTCTCACGCTCAGTTCGCTATCAACACAAAGCCGGTACATGCACACACATGCTCATGACATGCCATAACGCTCATATCCGTGCCCACATTGACGCCCTCAAGCAACGCCTCTGCGCCTCTCTGGGCGGTCGCAGCGACCCACCCCAGGCCCCTCATCCGCTTAAACTCCATTCGAGAAGATCACCCCTCTATTGTGCCTGACCTCCCATGCCGCCACCATCACCCATGCCCTCCCCCATGAACCCCTCAAACATTCCCCCCGGCGTAAAACTCCCCAGCCCCAAACCCTCCGCCCAATCCCACTCCAGCGTCATAGGCATCTGCCACAGATCCTGCGGCACGAAGGGTTGCTGGAAAGAACCCGTACCACCGAGCATGTCTTGCCCGGCTCCGGGCGCGCCGGTGAAAGGGTTATTCAGGTCCATTGCGCCAGCCATTGGTGGGGAGAAGCCAGTGGTTGTGGGGTTGAAGGACCCGTCGGTGAGGCCGGGTTGGGTGAATTGAGGTGACGATTGAGTGGTTTGTGGGTTGAAGTTGTTGTTAGGCATGGTGAAGCCGGGTTGCTGGTTCCATTGTCCGTTAGGTTGTAGGAGCTGTTGCTGCTGCTGCTGCTGTTGAGGTGGCAGCATCGCCTGCTGCTGTTGCTGAAGCGCGGCGATGTCGTTCCCATTCGTATCCATCCCTCTTGAAGCTCTCTTCGCCTCATTGGAACCGGACGTACTTCCGGCGGCCGGACTACTGCCCCAACTAGCCGGGCTCCCCTGCGCCGAAGTCTCCATACTATGCCTCAAACTAGGCGTTTGTATAGGCCTCCGATACGCTGACTGCGTCTCCACCTGCATCATCTCGAGCGTCTTGCCCTCGTCCAGTCCCGCCGCGATACTATTGCCATCCCGACGATCCTTCTCCTTCTCACGCTCAGCCTGTTTTCTCTTCCCTCGACCCTTCATGTCGCGCTCGGCTTTGTCGAGAACGACTTTCGCGATGCGCTCGAATTCCGAGCATACGGAGAGCATGCGGCGGACGTTGCCGTTGGCTTCGGTGGTGTCGCGCTCGAGCATGGTGAGGAAGGAGCAGACGCTGTTCATGAGTCGGAGATCTCCTCGTGCCCGGACGTCCTGGGGATTTTGGAGGATGTTGGCAAAGAGTGTTACGAGGGCGGAGACGGGGTAGTATAGGATCAGCCTGTCGTGTGTCAGCATTTACACAGTTTTGCACTCGGAGAACGCGACTTACCAGACACAGGCGTAGTCACCTTGCGGAATGTAGCGAATCAAGCCTATACTTGTCCTCGCTGCGTTTACACATAGCGCTGCGCTCATGAAGACTCTCGGGTTCAGCGGCCTGGCGTTCAACCCCATGATGGCATAATCGCTCAGCCGGCTCGTCCAATACCCATGATGCACACTCATGCGATGTATTGTCGTCAAGCAATTGTAGTACGCAAAGTGCAAAACGACAACATGCAGTATTAAAGGCGTATGCGCAGCATTAATCTCATGCTCAGGCCGGAAGTCGATCGGGATGCTGTCCTTCCACTCCTCCAGCTGAGCATCGAGTTCGCCAATAGTATTCAGTAGCTCTCCATCACTCTGCCGTGATGCTTTGACAGAGTACAACTGCTTGTACACTCGGCTCTGGATCTGCGCAAACAGGCACATAAGTCTGAAGAGATTCAAGGTGCGCTTGCCATCGATCTCTTTCGCAAGAGGGATGTTGCCCACGTTGTCTGGCGGATCCTCCGAGGGCAGCTCGACATTCATGTCATCGTCGTCTTGCGCCGGTGGTCGGCCAGACCGGAGGCAGATGTCTTTGTCCAACAGGTACGCGATCCAGAAGACGCGCTTGCGCTGCTCGTTTTCGACTTCGTTAAGGTTGAAGCCTGAGCCACTTTTATGCAAACCGATGGAGTGTGCTAATCGTATTGCTGCTGCCACGAGGAAGAAGGAAGGTTGAGGGTTAGGTGTGCCTTGTAAGAACAGCGCCATGCCCAGTAACGCTTGGACAGACAGGAGGTCAGTATTACGCATCGTAAGCTCCGTGAAGACAGCCATCGCATTCTTCAGATACCCCCAGGCGTGGTCATCTTCTTCCTGCCCAACCAGATTCGACATCACGCGCAGCCTGTGAGCGATGGCTAGAGCAACGTTCAAGCTGGCCCACCAGCCCGAGCCTTCGTAAGGATCGAGGCTGTAGTGCTTGTCAACGAGATGCATGAATGTGGGTTCATGAAAGAGCGGGAACATGCAGTTGAAGTTCTCGAAGAAGTCCTTGAGAAGGGCGTAACACTCTTGTCGTGGTGGAAGCGGCTTGAACACTCGTCTCGAGAAGAGGTCGTTGAACACTTCTGGTCGCCAGTGATCCCATCCAATCTTATCGTCTGCGGTGGCCGTAGCGATCATCCTCTGGAACGAGCTGTCGCCGGTCTTCTCATTCACCCACTGTATGCCTTTGGGACTGAAGATCGAGAAGCCTGATGATGAGCCGATATAGCGTGTCTCGCCGACATTGTTGGTTATGAGACTGCACATCTGGTCTGCGAGCGCATCGACTTCCTTCGGATCTCGCTTGAATGGGTTCTTCGAGTCTTTTGGAGGTTCAGGCGTAGCTGTGTTGGCTAGCGCCGGGCTCGTCTGTGCCATTTGAGGCGTGCTGTGTAATGATGTCTGCTGCGGCGGAGGCCTTGACGGCGGTGCTGGTGCGATCTGAGGACTGGCGCCACTGCTCCTCGACGAACTGCCCTGGCGCTCTTGCAACCTCCGTTCCAAGGTCCCGAGATCTGTCCTACCACCGTCTTCTTCCGCCAACAGACCGCTCATCTTGAGCAAGCTTTCCATTCTTCCCAAGCGATTCTCCAGCCCTTCGATGTACTTTGCCCCTTTCGGGGGCGCCCGCTTCTTCTCCTGGGGTGTGAAGATACACTCTGTCTTGTAGTTCTCGCAGTGACTGCACTTCGGAGCCTTGCCATCGCATTTGATCTTCTTCTTCCGGCACATATCACACGCCCGCGCTATCCTCCTCCGCTTAGGATCCCGCCCTTCACCATCCTCTCCATCGCCAACATTTCCTTGCTCATTGTCGTCATCTTCAGCATCGCCGTCGCCGTCGTACCCAGCTGACTCAGTCGGAAACCAGTGGTTGCCTGCAGTCGGTCGCTCGCACTCCGCTGACGAGCCAGGCGGGCCATAACTGTTCCCGAACATCTGCCCTGCGGAACCCATCGCGGCGCCGCCGATGTTGTTCATTGTCGCTCTCCCCTGACCGTGCAATAACTCGTCTGGTCCTTCGAACAATGAGCGATGCGCCTGGCTGGCTTATGAACACTACTCTGAGCCCTCCTCCACCGCTATGTCCGGGCCCTTGTAGTCATGTTGCCGTTCTCAAGAAGGTAGTGTTGTTGACAGGTCTTGTTGGTCAATCAGTCAGTAGCAATTCAACGTCTTGTCGATTGATGCTGCGAACTCCGAACTCCAGATCTCTGCGAAGCCAAAAGTGACGCCGGCTCCAGTCATCATCAGCGAGACCCTGTCAGTGTTGTTTGCAGAGCGGAGGGCGGGCAGAATACAACCTCCGACCCGTACCTCTACTTCTAGATAAGCTCCAATGATGGGAAGCATCAAAACTATTTCGTCCGCCGTCTTTTCGACATCTCGTCCTTTTTCGTCAGCACGCTTCTTGCCGGGTCGTACCGAACACGAAGGCCGTGGAAGCGGACACATCATGGCGCCGGGGCGGTGGGAGGCACCCAAGGTCTCGAACCTAGAGTCTCAAAGCCTGCCTTGCAAGTCGATTTGGATGTCTGCTAAACATGTACACGTTTGGGGCAGCTGCTGGAGCAAGCAGGAACAGGTAGTTGATTTAACGTTACCGCCCCGTGGCAGGCAATGGCATAGCGTGAGCACGGAAACTCCAGCATCCGGGCTAGAACTACCACGCTGGAATGCCCAAATCGATACCAATCCTTCAAGCGAGACATTAGATTTGAGAGTATCCCCTTCATGCAGAGCCCATAGCAACTCGGCAGCGCAAGCTACACCGTTCGACACTTCCAAAGGGAAGAGAGATTGGTTGCACTTGCGATTTCCTTGCGTGAACGACTGCCTAACTACGGACTTGGTGGTGCTACGATATGGTAGGACTTCATCCCTCAAGGAGTTCTTTTTCATACAGTGTGGCAGTGGGAAAGTTTGTGGGTATCTAGAATGCCAAAACGCTGCAAGAAGCCTTCAATGAATATCGCTCGCCATTCATCACGCTCATCCAACTCAACACCCTCCCATATCAAGCCTAGGCAGGTTGCTCAAGGCACCCGTCTCATCAAAGTCCCCGACCTTTGCAGCGGTTTGGGAGGAACAGGCGGAGGCGCTCCATCAGTCGACGCTCTGCCGCCATCTGTCGAACCTCTCCCACCACTCATTAGAAATGAGGACGCTCTTCTCCCAACCTTCGGCTTCTCCTTCGCTGCTTCGTCCAGGTACTCACGCATCAGCTTCTTGATACGCTTGGTCTCCGTATGACTGACACCCTTGTCATAATCAATATTCGTCCTGATGATTCTGGCGCTGCAGATCCCGTCCGGACAGATATCGACGCCGTAGTTGGAGCGGAAACTCTGCTTGAATAGGGCGATGGAGAAGTAGTACGTCGTGGCTACTCGGTTGAGCATGAAAGAGTACCGCACCATGAAGCATGTGCTTTGGGGGCCGGCGACTTCACTGTACTCCATGCCGTAGACGTGCAGGCACTCGCGAATGGTTTTGATCAGCCAAAAGAGATCGTTGGCTGTGAAGACGTCAATTCGACTGAGGCCCGCTGACTTTGCGACTTTGGCGGATGAGTTGCGAGTGAAGAGGTCTGCGAGATCGCATTCGTGGGCTAGCAGGCGGCCTTTGCGGACGTTGGCGATGGAGAAGAAGGGATCGTACATCAACGGCCAAGGTGAGTTCGGCTGGAAGCTTTCAGCTGTGATTCTAGTGCGATGATAGTCTGCTCCTTGGGCTGATCTGTCGAGCTTTAGGAAAGAGCTGGAGCGGTAGCGGTTCGGATCTGTCTGAAGCTGGCTGCTTGACTGGCCCCTGTCCGGTGCACTACCGCTTTCTAGTAACGCTTTGACTGCTGGCAAAGTGATCGCTTGAGTATCCAAGATGGACACAGGCTCATGTGGCGCCGAATCCTTCCAGGCTTCTTGAGCAAAGCGAAGCTTGAAATCAGACTTGGCCACTCCAAGCTGGACTGCCTCCTGCTCGAGCCGCACCAAAGTGCTCAAGCCAGCCAGATCGCCGGTGCGGAAGAGCGAACTACGTTCCGCGACGCAGTAGGATATCAATGCCTCCGTCCGCTTGTTGAGCAGGGCGTATGCGTCTCCCAGCCAGTATGCTGCCGAGCAGTCGCCGTCGTCGAGCTCAGATAGGTTACTGATCGGGCTGCGAATGACGGATTGAAAGAGGGAGATGGCACGCTCGAGTTCTCCTTGGAAGCTCGCACAGACACCGAGGAGGTGGCGTACTCGTCTCGCGCGTGCAAGATCGCCCTGTTCCCGTAGGATTGAGAGATACTCCATCAAGTAGGCTTCAGCCTGCGACCACAGGGAAGCGTTGAAAAAGTGAACGATGTGGTACTGACGCTCGTTGTCAAGTGCAGACGGGTCGGGCCCGGCCACGTCGAGACTCGTCTTCTCAGGAGTATACCACTCTGTCACCGGAGTGTCTTGCAGTTCTGTCGGAGCAGGTAAAGCCCTCACATCAGACGTCAGCGCGGCCCGGCTCTGTCGCCAGCTGCCTTTATACGAGTCCATGGTCTCCTTCCACAAGCTCGGCTTCAGGCCATTCATCGCAGTGTCCACGCTAGATTGCTTCTTGGGTGCGTGACTGACAGTCTGGGTGTTAAGCGGAGATCTGCCTTTGCTTGGTTTATCCTTGCTGACATCAACAAGTTTCGCTTTCGCGAGCCTATTGGTGTCCATTGAGAATGCTGTAGCTAGCTTTGAGGAGGACGCGGCGAGCGCCACCACGCCCTGCTGAGAATCTCGGCCCCCATTGCCCGTTCCATCCTTCGAAGGACGACTAGGGAGCGGCGGTGGCATCTCGACAGAATCCTGATCCTGGTCCTGGTCCTGATCCTTGCTGTGCTTTTCCAGCTCGAGAGGCTCTGCACGACTTTTTGAGAGGTGGCCAGTAGCCGTCGTCGTCGTAGAAGCACCCTCAGGGTCCTCCACAGAACATCCAGCGACAACACCGCTCGCGACCTCCTCATCGTGGTCGGCAACCGAGACTCGTGGTATCTCCAGTGATACCACCGGTTTTGGAGAAGCCGGCCTAGAAATTGCATACAATTCGTCCTCTGATGAACTGTCCTCTCTGACCGGAGCGTTGACGATCCGATATGCTGATGTGCGCGCTGACGACCTGGTACTTCGCGGAGAAGGTGGTGGTGGAGGCTGGCGAGCCGGTGCTGCTGGAGACGCAGGTGCGCTGGGTGGAGAGTCTGTTGGCGTAGGCTCAGGTGGAGGAGTTGAAGGGGTTGGAGGCTGCTCTTCCTCAGCATCGGCCGTGTTTCCAAACACGAGGCTCAGCTCATTCCTGAGCAGGTCGACGGCGTCACCATTCTCCTGCTCCGCATTAGGAGCTACTGCTTCCACTGGTTCACACAGGCTTATGCTGGATTTGCTGCGATCGAGAACCACGAGAGAAGCGATATGCTTTCGCCTAGCTGGCTTGGCTTCTTGCTCGGCCGTCTCACATATCGAAGATAGTGAACTGTTTCGCCTCTTGTAGCTGAAGTTTGTTGCAGCAGACATTGGACTTAGGTGTGTCATATCCATTGTTGAGGCCCTGCGGACGACGGGATCGATGCTCGCATCGTTGGTGGTTGCAACTGCCGAATCCGAGCTACTTCTCTTTCTTTGCGGCGAGGGGACTGGATGTGTGCCCTCGGGCTGTTCTCCGTTCCGGTCTGGGTCGTTGGGCTTCGAGATTGATCCCAACGTCTTCGCATGCTCTGCTTGCGGACTCGAGAATGTGGTCGACGCTGCGGAACCTGAATCGGATTGTTCTCCGCTGTTAGACGCGGAATCCACTGCAGAGATTACTTGCGTTGGCACCTCAAGCTCCGCGGGCGGGTTTGAGAACATAGCTGGGCCGGAAGTAGCACTCATGGCGGCATCGTCCTCCTCAGTCATAATCATTGCAGAAGCCTGCTCGAAGCTCATTGATAGCGGGTCAGGAGAGGCGAAAGGTGACCTCCAGTCCAAAGAAGCTCTACTATCCTCTGCATTCATTGGCGACAGGGACCGAAGGTACTCTCGCCCAAAATCGTGCACTTCCTTCTCATCGCTAATTTGCTGCTGCGCCCTATTTCGGTTGGCGGCATCTGAACGAGTTGGCGACCAAGCGCTCGATGTGCGACTTGACTTGCGATCGAATGCGCTATCCGACCTGCCAGATAGTGAGGAGACTGAGGAAGGCCCGGAGGGCTCTGCACTGGTGCGGATGTCCAGCTGAGCCTGTACCTGGCTCTCGCCCCCAGTCACCGCTGCAAGCGCCGAAGACAACTCGCGGTTGGTGACGTCCAGACTCGTCTTGATGTCTGAGACGTCGTTCTCGTTGACGGTGTCATATCCCGGACCGCAGTGGGCTTCCAGTGCAGAGTGCAGTTGCTGTAGCGTTTTCCTGGCTCTCGCTACATCGTGAAGCAGCTTCAGATCGTTTGGGCCCAGCGTCCGGAAGTCTTCGACTAGTTCTTCAACTTCCTCCAGAGTGTTGCGCAGCTGGCGCACACTACCAGTTAGGAGCCTAAAGGATGAAGCTGAATCTCGACACTGGCTCCAGCATCTTTGCGCCAGCGCTCGACATTCATGAATGTTGGCCGAAGGCGCCGTAGCCATGATCTGAGCGGCTGGATCTTTGGTCACCAGGAGACGCTGGGATGGTGGCTCGTATTCAAGGTCTGGCAGTCATCCACGCAAGCTTCCCTTCTTGCTTCCCATTCTCTGTCCCGCATATTCGGCCTCTGTGGCGGTCAAAATAACACGTCAAGACATTCCAAGCTTCCGCGAACGGTTCCAAGTTGGCAGATGTGAAGCATACGAGTGATGAGTGGCAGCGAGGTTGATGTAGCCAGCAATATCAAGAAATCGAATTACAAAAGCAAGGTGACGTCCAGGCAGTGTTGGCGACGCCTTTGCTGCGCCTGAGGTCGAAGCCACCGCGAATCTCTCTCCAGACTTTTGGGGCCAAATTGGCGGGATGTGAACCGTTGAAATTACAGGCTGCGATGAGAATAGAACAGCAGGATTCTCTCGATTCTGTCCAATCATTAGCGTCAATCGATGACTGTATATAGCATCTGCGTATGCTGTTGAACGACTCACATTGCTGATGAAGGATGGAAGTCTAGGTTGCGTTGGTCGCATCATACAGTCGCCCACTCATCGCGAGGACGCTCATAGAACATCTCAATCTAAGCGACAGAACGGTAACAACACTGGTAGAACGCTTCTTCCTGCCCACCACCCACTCAATAGGCTTGACCACCACCACCAGCCGATAGACACCTCATTGCCCACCCGTCCCAGCAATGCGATTCAAAGTCTGTTCTCACTTCGTTCGAGGGCCGGATTAAAAGGGGCACACCTCCACATCAGCGTCCGGGAATCCACTCGGTAGTCTGGGGATTGCAAGATCAAGACCAGTGCTCCAGTGCCTCTAGACAGTGGCTGTAAACCTGAATGAGGCCCTGATTGCTGCGCGTCGCTGTACTGGAGTCTTGCATCATCATCGTCGCCGGCTCATGTCTTCCTCCGGGGGCTTTAAAGACTCGTTGGATTTGAAACGTGAGTCAATTGATCCATCAAAGCAGATGCTCCAACGGGGCCAAAAGACTCAAAAGAACACCGCAGACACGCAAGCAGCTGCATGACCGGAGCGGGCTTCAATAGGTTAGACCTTTCGTGTTTGGAAGTGGCATCTACACAGCTGGTCAGAGAGCAGCATAGCTTGCTCAAACGTCTCCCCCCTGCCGTTCTCATAAAGCGCGGCTTCAACCAAGCTTGGACATCTGTCGCCCACAGCCTCCACCAGCTTATTTCACGAAGAGATCCCTGGAATTGGGTTTCAACCCAGGTATGCAGCGGCAACAAGGACCCTCGAGGCGAAGCCGCTGGTTGATATTCGAGCAGCAACACGTGAGGCTGCTTCAACATGTGAGACTGTATGAGGATGATCGACCGAGGATGAAAAAGTCCACTGCCTTCCCGTCACCCAGCACTCCGCCGGAAGAGGACTGTCACAATGCTTTGTCCTGTTTGGCCGCCAAAGGTGAAGGTTGGATACTTTGCTTCGGCGTACAAGGTCAATTCGGAGCCCGCAGGTGCAAGCCATTTCTCCAACTCTCCTTTGGTCCAGTTGCAGGAGGTTACGATGAGAAAGCTTCTTGGCGCAACTAAAGGCATAACCTTCTCCCGATAGATCTTACAAGGGTGTCGGTCACTGCTTTGGCTGTCCATGAGTGAGATGGCATCAAAAGTGCCCTTGTCTAGGACGACATCGAAGCCATCTTCGAGCCAATCGCCAGGCGGACTTGAGAGCAGGTCCCAGCATTCCAGTCGGAGGGGTCCCAGAGGTTCATCAGCATCATCAGACTGCTTCTGTGCGGCTATCCTACGTGCAAGCTGTACACTCGCCGTACTGTAGTCGACACCGACCATGTCGCCACACCATGGTTCATCGTCCTCTGTATCACGCAAGCAGAAGAGCATATGCCCGTTGCCGGTACCCAGATCGAGGAAGCGAGATGCTCTCGAGTCGCCTTCGGCCGTTCGTCGTAGCAAGCCTTCGTCGGCCAGCCTATCGAGTTGCTTGAGGACGGTTTCTTCAGCATTGCTTTCGCTGAACCAGACCGTACCTTCGTCGTCCTTGTCCTGCTGATGGTTCTCCAATTCACGGTCGTATAAATTATCCCAACTGCGCGTGTTAGCAATGGCCAATAGATCATCATATTTGACCCAGAACATGCCGTACATACTAGTCCTTCGTGCCCAATTCGCTCGGGTTCAGCGTCTCATTGTGCGCCTGGTTCTCCATGGCGATTATGGAGCTGTGATCAACCGGTACATGGGATGACGGATGCATTCAAGACGCCACGAGGAGAGCGATATTGAGTGCCGATTGTGTTTTCGACTTATGTGTATGTAGAAGCTTTAGGTGTCGATATTGAAGGCCCTCTTGATCGCGCTTGACCTCGCTAGCTCCGCGCATGTCGGCATCAGCGTCACCCTTCGACCTTCTCGATCCAAACAACGACCTTGAATGACATATTCGAACTGTACATACGGCGTGAAGGGCATAACGGAATGCGAGAACCCGGTTTTCTACTTCGATAGGGAATATGGCCGAAGGCATGAGCCAGACGTCGCTCAAGCCCGTGGAACAGCCTCTCAACCTCATTCCAGTCGGCCTCAAAGAAGCAGCACTCGACTCGCCGACCTTCCGCGCAACAGCACTACACTTCTCCGACCAAATCGACGTAATAGAGCGATGGCTGGACGGCTACGTGAAGGCGGCGTCGCGTCTTGTGACGGAGATGAGCGCGCTGGAGACGGCGGTCAATAACCTTATAACGCAGAGCGCGCCGCCCGCGCAGGTTAGCGAGGCGGTGCTGGATCACGACTACACGCTGCTCGCACTACGGAGGTATGGAGAGGGGGCACGGGAGTACTGGAACTCTACGCTGCGAGGGGTCAAGAAGTACGACGGCGCGGTCATTGAGCCTATCAAAGCCTTCTTGAACAGCGAGTTGCGCGCTTTCAAAGATGCCAGGAGGACCTTGGATACCACTCAGAAGGGCTTCGACTCTGTAATAGCGAGGTACCTATCCCAGGGCAAAGCCAAGGAGGCGAGCAGTCTAAGGGAAGACGCATTCCAGGTGCACGAAGCCCGGAAGTCGTACTTGAGAGCTAGCATGGACTTCTGTATCTCTGCTCCTCAGCTACGGGCGAGCCTAGATCAGTTGATCGTGAAGGTCTTCTCCGAGCAGTTTAGGGAAATGAGAGTCTCTCGCGATTCAAGTGCGGCTGTCCTGACGAGGCTGAACGCGGAGATGGAGCGTGTCAGAGGGTGGAGCAGAGAGATGGAGGACTCCGAGAAGGCGTTCAAGAGGGAGCTATCCACGGCCAGGAAGCAGATTGAGGAGAGCGCAAACCTGATGACCCGGCCGAGCCGGGAGTTGCACGATTATGAGGTCTCCACCGTCCCGTATCTAGGGACGAAAGCTAGTACTGCAGCCGGCATGACCTCGCCAGCAAAAACGCCCCAGCAGCTGGAGAAGGGTGAGAAGCAAGGTAAGCATCAATGGGCGAAAAGGGCTCTCCGAAAGGGGATCGAGCTCTATCCAGCGCTCTAAGACCTTATCTACTCGTTCACGGTGCGGAGAAGCTGGCTGACCCTTCTATTCTGTACTGCAGGTTGGCTGTTCCTGAAGACTGTTGTTGGAAAACCTGCTCGGACTGTGTGGTCGCGCCGCTGGTTCTTCGTAAAGAACGGCATCTTCGGGTGGCTCATCCAAGGCAGTAGGTCTGGCGGCGTGGAGGAGAGCGAGAAGATTGGTGTGCTTCTCTGTGGGGTACGTCGAATCGACTAGTTGGAAGTGTTCTCCGAGACTCGCACAAGGTCCAAGGACTATGTGGCGCTCGGAGACCTCTCCATCTTTGTTCCAACTTTCGAGACACTTACTGACACCTCCATCACGTTAGGTCCGACCAGCGTTCCAGGAAGATCGTCGGTTCTGCTTCGAAGTCAAGACGAAGGACACCAGTATCGTTCTACAAGCAGAGACCCAGGGTGAGCTATCGGAGTGGATCAGCTCGTTTGAGGTTGCGAAGAGGAAGGCGCTGGAGGACCCAGGTAGTACCGAGTCGTCCCCTCTGGCTGCAGATCCGGCTTTCGCGATCACCGCGCCGATTGCCCCTGAATTTGCTGCTCGTCTGGACGACCGCTCGGAGCGCGGTACTACCGAGGACCTGCCGGGGGCACTGGCGTTGCCAGATCGTGATGGCGCCGGTTTTGGAGGGGTCGGTCAGCGTGCCAGCTTCGATGTCAGCGCAGCACGCCGTGTGACCAGCCTGGGAGGCGAGTCCGAACGAGGCGAGCGCAGTCGAGATCACGCTGCGCGGATAATGTCGAAGCTCGACCTCCACAAGAGCTCGTCCGCTGCGCCGCCACCGGTCCAAAGTCCGACTCCTGCAGGAGGCATCGCTAGTCTGATATCGGCTAGCCATAATGTTCTGCCCATTCGACCGGATACGCCGTCACAGCCTGGCCCAGAGACCACCAGTGGACACCGAAGGAACCCTACCATCCCATCGAGCACTTTAGCCCCCAGTACACTGGCCAACCCACCCGCGCCCACGAATCTAAGCCATACGGCTGTTGTAGTCAGTGGCGAACGGGGTCTCGGACTCGGTAGCAAAGCAGACGGTGCTGGCATGCCTTCTGGCATCATGGCAAACCTTTGGGGAAGCTCGAACTGGGGATATGTCAACCGTCTCGGGGACGATTTGGCCAAGCCGGTGCCACACCAGAGTAGCGTCTCCCAGCCGCCAAGTCCACGATCCGGAAACAGCGTGACCATGGACGACATGAGCGTTATGGACGGGACTGGAGAACTTTCACAGGAGCTCTCGTCGGGTGCTCCCCAAGTGCCTGGACAGCTGGGTCATCGGAAGACCATTAGCGCTGTGGCTGCCTCTGATCTGAGTCTACCGTCAAAGGTGTCCAAGCCGGCCGCCGACGACGGTGAGGACTATCCCAACTACTACCCACTGCCGTTGAAAGCACAACATGCGCAGTTCCGAATGCTTTTCCCATCTGTCCCTCGCTCGGAGAAGGTGGTCCTGGTGTTCCGCGGCACGTGGAATCCGAACGAGCAGCAAGACTTTCCCGGCCGGATCTATGTTACTGCCAAGGACATCTACTTCTACAGCCACCACCTTGGCTTTGTTCTGATCACTGGGGTGTCACTAAGCTCCATCAGCGAGGTGACGGCTGCCCCTGGACGGGACTGCGATTTCCTGTATCTCCACTTGAAGGAGAGTAGTAGACAAGACAGGCGGCGGATCACTATTCGAGTCTTTTTAGACTCTCTGAGGCTTCTCCAACGGTGAGTATTCATGGGTAAACGGGCTCTCCAAGGCACGATCACACTGCAAGTGGTGCTCTGAGGCCCTTTGAACCCTTCCTCGCCATCGAGACACGTGCTGACTCTTTTACCCTTTGGTGCTTTAGGCGTCTCAGCTTTCTCGTAGAAAACGCAAGCTCTGAAACTTCGTGGAGCCTTGAGGAGGTATTGAAGAAGCTTATCAAGTTGGAGATGGAGAAGCAGGAACGCAGCTCCAGCATCGAGAGTTGGGAGGACCTCGCTGACGAGGCTGTGGGAGGTGACGAGGGTAGTCCTTACCGCCGCGAGCGAAATGTCAAGGCCAGCCTGCGAATTGACGGCAACCTCTACGCCGAAACAGCAAAGACCGGCCGAGAGGTACAGAGATTTCAGCTTCCGCGACAGCCGGTCGTCTACGCACCTCAAGGCATGCAAGCAAGCACTACCCGCGAGTTCAATGTCAGCGCCAAGGCACTTTTCCACATCATGTTCGGAGACAAGAGTGCTGTGTTCCAGCTACTCTACTGCAATCGCTGGGCAGATACCACTTCTCAGACGCCGTGGACAAAGAGCGCCGACTTTGCGGCTGGTCATTGGACTCGCAAGTTTGCCAGTCGCGGAGAAGCCACCCCCATGGCCGACTCGCAGACCATCGATATCCTCAACGACCATCTATGCTACGTCGTGAGCAACCTCAAACACCCATGGCGCCTGCCCTACTCAAGCCGCTTCCACCTCACCACCAAGTTCGTGATCACGCACGTGGCGAAGTCGAGCTGCAAGCTTGCCATATTCCAGCAGATCACGTGGACGTCACCTCCCGCCATGACGTACATCAAGAACCTGATCGAGCAGCGTGCACTGCAGAGCCTTGAGGCTGATGCATTAGACCTCACCAACGTGGCTATGGATCAGGTGACCAAGCTTGGCAAGCAGGGCAAGACGAACAAGGCTATCGAGATATTCGGGAACATCGGCCAACAAGGTCCTGTCCCGGCCGTTGACGTGTCCGCTGTGCCCAATTTGGGCGGCACGGTAACTTCTCAGCGAGAGAAGTCAAGACAGCCGGTCAGTATCACGAAGCTGGTGGCTGCTGACTTGTTAGTGCGTGTGGGAAGGGCGCTCGGCTATGCGCTCGATGTGTTCTTTGCGCTGGCGAAAGGACTGATTGACGTGTGCACGTCTCACACGCTGCTGGTGGCTCTATTGATAGCGTCGATGCTCTACAACAGCTGGTACGGCTACCGGGATGGCTTGGTCTGGTTCCATGAAAGAAGCGCGACTAGATACATGGCCAGGCTGGGCGTTAAGCCGGAGCCCATAATCACGAAGGCGGTCTATCTCTCCGATATCGAGGACTTTGTAGCGCCTCCGTCGGTCAATGAGACATCCTGGCCCTTCTCGCTGGCGGAGAAGCAGTCGAACACGAATAATTGCAAGACGACTTTCGGAGAGCAAGTGCTCAGTCCCGCGACGTCGATGGTTGGAAGCGGGGCACGTATGAAGCGGTCAAGAGACGCAATGGCTCGTTACAGGCACGACCTGCTTGTCGCTCTCCGAGTTGTGAACCGCATTGAGCGTGATGTGGTGCAAGCGGAATGGGAAGATTGGGTTCGCGGCGAGGGGAGGAAGTGCGATAGGGTTGAGCAAATGCTCGTTGTCCGCCAGCAGAAGCAGTCTGGGAAGGGCAAGAAGGCAGATCGGAAAGTGGACGGCGAGCTCGGGCCGGAGTTCAAGGCATACTGTGACAGCTGTCGTGATGAGTTGGCGGCGGTTGGGGCGGGAGCGGGTTTGATATGATGCATGACTTTGCCGATACCCAAGTTCATACTTGAGAAATGTGAATATGTGTTCAGTTGCGGTCCTCTTCGGACGTATGACTTGGCTCTCGGCAAGCTCTTGAAATTCATTCCATTTGCGCGCTGGGCGTGAGGCGGTCTGGTCTGGGCGCTGCTGTAAGGTCGCTTGCCGTTCTGCTTCCGCTATTCACCCGACATCCTTAATATCGGTACCCCCTCCCAGCTCAGTGTTCTCCAATTGTATCAAAATACAATTGACCATTTCAACGCTGATGTGCAGTTGAAGAAACCCGATAGCCCTGAGATCGGACCCCACCAACATAGTGACTTATTTTGGGCTTCTGGGTCATACAAGCGTTACATATGGTGACAATGGAACAAACGCCAGTTGTGGTCGTTGGCGGCGGCCCAAGCGGTCTCACAATGGGTCTCGCTCTTGCAAAGCACAAAGTCCACGTAAGAACTGCTTTGCCAAAATCTTCTCAGGGCGAGACTGACCTCTCAACAGTCCACCATACTCGAGAAAGAACCCACCATCGACCAGGATCCGCGAGGCGTCTTTCTCAACGGCGATGCTGTGAGGATTCTGTATGATCTCGGATTGGTCGAGCAGTGGCCTGAGATCGGTCATGGTGAGCTCCTAGCCATCTGTTACTCATAGAATAACACGGCTGAGCGCATATAGAGCCTAAGAAGATCAACTTCCACCGAACGACCTTCAAGAAGCGGCCGTTCTATAGCATGGATACTTCGGATGACTTTCTTAGTGCGCCATCCACAGGTGTTCTGACGTCCAGGGCTGGGCTTACCCTGTGAACAGGTCAAGCTGTTCCGAATGGCTTCCTGCATGTCCAACCGAAACTTGGTGACTCTGAGGTCTTTACCGTCCGATGCAAGATGCCGTGCTAATCATCTTCCAGAGGCGGCGTTGGCCAATCTCATTCACAAGTCTGAGTACTGCACTTTGCGGCGAGGATGCGCAGTGCAAGACCGGAAATCTGGTGACAGTGGCATGACTATTAGCTATCGCAATGAGAGTGATGCCGACTGCTCCATAACATGCAACTGGCTAATCGGCGCCGATGGCAAACGAGGCATTGTAAGGAAGCACTTCCTCGAGGCCTCGGCTGGTATCCGGCAGCAGGACAGCAGCTATCGATACGATGGTACTTGGGTGGCGGCCAATCTTCGTATAAATCTACCAACGCCGAATACTCATCCCCAGCTTCCCTTCTGGAGCCATGGTATGTCTCCCGAGCAGGTCTTTAATCTCTACTGGCCGAAAGACTGGCACTTCTGCACACCGCCCGGGAAACCTACTGCCTGCGGGCGCTTTGGCCCATTCGAAGATCGAGTTTGGAGGCATGAATTCGCTGAGCATGGCTGGAGAGACGATATGGATGCTACGGAACTTCTATGGGAGCATATCACGCCAATGATCACCCATGATAGAGACCATCACGGAGAGCGGTTCAAAGACGGTCCAGTGACCTATCCACAGGATTGCATAACGATCATTCGATGCCGCCCGTTCACATTCACGCACAAGGTCGTAAACAAGTGGTTCGATGGTCGAACGGTTCTGATTGGCGACGCAGCTCACGTGTACGACGCTCACAATTCTGCCATACCCATTACTTCGCTATGAGTAGACGCTGACTGTTACGCAGCTACCCGCCCTTCGGAGGAGAAGGCATCGCCTCCGGTATCCGCGATGCACATCAGCTGGCCTGGCGCATTGCCCTCTCGCAGAGCTGCCCTCTGAGAGTCTCAGCAGTCAAACAACAACTCAACACGTGGGCTGAAGAACGAAGGAAAGGCGCCAAGAATGCAGCAGACTTCACGAAGCTCAACGGCACTTTGTGCAATGAGGAGGAAACCTGGGGATTCTGGGTGTTCCGCAACGTCGAGTCGGTCTTGAAGATGATTCCATTCTTCTCCTACCTGCCTAATCCCCGCTCGATGACGGAAGCCAAAGGCTACCAAGGAGTGAAGGGCGTTTTCTTTTTGACTAGATTCGGCGGCGGTGGTAAGCTCGCACAAGTCTATATGGATTCGACAGACAGCGGAAATGTCTTCTTGTCAGATCATCTACTTCGGCACGAGCAGTCGCTTCTGACACTGATAGTCCTGGATACTGGCAACCGAGAAGAAGCGATAACCGCCTTGAAATCATCAGACATCTCGCCGAGCATGCTCTCTCCCGAGGACATCATCGTGGTAAAGAACAAGAAACACACCATCAGTCCACAGACCCATGTGACAGGATACTCTCCGACCAGTCTTTCAGATGGTACAATTCCGAACGGATATAGTCCTGCAACGTACTGGAGTCGATTGGGAAAGGGCTCGTACGCTTACGCTATCGTCCGCCCCGATTTCTACATCTTTGCTCTTCTCCGTAACAAGGAGGAATTGGAGCATGCGATAGTAGGGCTGATGGGAATCCTTGCTGGACGTGACAACAGTTCGGTCTCCCCAAGAGCCAGACTCTGACATCGTCGCCAAACCAGAGACAACACATGCACTCGGCGAACCCCAACGACTGCCTCAGGATCAACTTTAGGATTCGCATTTGCAAAGCGAATCCGACGCTCTCGGCCCCAAATTACTATAGTAGGCAGAAGTCATCTGATGACTGTCTCCATACGGATCTGCACAAACGAGCATGCGGCTGTGCGAACACCAAGTCGCAGCTGTTGTTATTATAAAGTACCCTGCATGAGCGTACCAGTGGCCCACAACATTTACTAATCACTGCGACACATGTCTCACCGAGCAATATCGATGGTCTTTTGCTTCTGACCGAGAATACTTGCACGGCTACAGTCGACTTGCGGGACAGACCATGGCCACCACATCAATCTTCACAGACGGCGCTCGGGCGAAGGATACTTATTTCCTCGACGGCGCGAAGCGGGCAGAGTTTGACCGTCTCGAACGGCAGAGCAGATGTGAGCGCACTGAATGTCTGCTTGGGCACTGCTCTGGCTTCCGCAAAAGTGTCTAAAACTTCTAAAGACCGAAGACTAACGAGCAATGACTGACCAGGTCTCAATACGGTGATGCATAAGTCGCCCTTCCATGCCCGGCCTACCAACCCCTCCCACATCCTCGAGATCGGCTGTGGCACTGGTTTGAACACCTGCCAACTAGGACGCCTCTACCCGAAGGCTCAAGTTCTCGGAATCGATCCCTCTCCTGTCCCGGATATCCAAGACAAACCACCGAACGTAACATTCACCCAAGGAAGATTCGAAGACCTCCTCGAGACCACAGTGCTGGCTCAAGGCTCCTTCGACTACGTCTACGTCCGCGTGCTAATGCTTGCGATCGGCGACTGGTCGCTCTTTCTCTCCCGCATTATGTCAGTCCTGAAGCCCGGTGGCTGGGTGGAGATGCAGGAAATGGATCCGCTGCGCTACTACGGCCCGTCTTCAACGGAGCCGGTGGGTGAAGGATGGGAGTGGTTACAAGTCATGCGCGAAGAAAGTCTGGCCCGTGGTCTACATCTCAGTATCGGCGCCGATCTGGCATCGCTGATGGGCGCAGCTGGGCTCCAAGATGTGGTGGAGAAGCAGTATAAGTTGCCTTTCACTCCTGTCCCGGAGCCAGAGTTGAGGGAGGTGCAGGAGTATATGATTGAGTTCACGCCGACTGTGGTGTCAACTATTTTGGAGCGGTATTGTGAAGGAAGGTACAGTCGCGAGAAGATTGAGGATATGAAGAGGGAAAGTAGAGAGACGGCGTTTGGAGGGAAGATTGAAGGGTTGCATTGGTGGATGTACGTGGTTGTTGGGCGGAAAGCTTGAGACATTTACTGGTTTATTGGTCTTGCAAAACCGGCAGGGGACGGAGGTGTCCTGGTCAGAACGTCTTTTTTCACGCAACCTCACCTTTACAACCACCTTACCGCACTGCTATTGTAGTTACGAGCTACCTACGAGCCGCTATTGTAAGTCGTTGCGAGCGCTATTATTCCATTGTTATTAGTTAGGTAGTTCTATTGTCGTCTCGTAACAATAAGGCTAATTTCCTATATCTACGAGCCGTTTATATAGCTCGCTCTTAACCCTCTAATATAACTATCAAAAAAACCATTCCGGCTATACTAGTTATAGTATCCTTTACTCCTATTAATAGCTCTACTACCTAATTAATAGACCGGTTTAATTAAATAACCGGAGGTCCTCCCCCCCTCTACCCCCTCCTAACGCCCCCCCTCTACTACTACGTACTATAGTATACCGTAAGCTAGAGAGTTAAGACCCAAACGACTTCTAGTACTATAGTACTAGGCGTTAGTACGAGCTACTCTATAGGTTAGCTACGAGAACGAATAAGGCCGATATAAGTCTCTCCTTCTAATTCCCTTTATTTACCCCTACTAACTTCTATATAGCTCAAATCCACCTATAACGCTATAACCAAGTATACTATAGCTAGTATTATTATAGAGGTTAAAGGCGCTCGTGTCGCTACTACCGAGAACTACTATTAGTATAATAAGTAGGCGATTAAGTACTCTCTACCTACTAATAAGAGTTTGTACGTTAGGTATACCTTCTATAAGCGTTAAGGCAAATCTAAGTACTCTACGAGCCGCGGTACGAGCTCGCTAGAGCTACCGAATTTACTTAACTAGCTAGCGGAGAGGTTTAATAAGCTAGTTAAGAGGGTTCTAGTACTTAAGTCTAAGAAGCTTACGCTTAAAGACAAGGTAGTTAAGCTTAAAGGCCGTGTTTAGTCGCTAGAAGAGGGTCGTAACGGTAGTAGGTTTCGCTCCTTTTAAAAGTATAGTATCTATCTATATAGCGAGCCTACCGGCGAGCCTTAGCGATTCCTATTTCTAATAATACCCTAGGTATATAGAGTTTAATTAATTACTTCTACTACTACTACTACTTCCTTTTTTGCTTCTACTACTTATTAGACCCCTTCGTCTTGTCTTTTACCGCTTTAACTACCTCCTCTGGCTTCGTATCTATCCCCCTCTAGCTTTTACGAGGCTATAATACCCTATTAGATAGCTCCGCTCGTAGTAGCGCTTTTGCTTTATCCTTTAAAGGAGCCGGCGGCTCGCTACGCCTCGTAATTGTTATAATCCTACTAGGTAGTCTTATATAATTAAGGTTGATTATACTTCTTTAGAGAGTTAGGTAACGATTAAATAAAGGTAAGGATACTAACTTAAGTCTAATTAGTTATAGATCTTTTAGTAAGATTGTAATATAAGTTAAATACAAGAATACTAGAGGTATTCTTAGTTCCTATATACCTTCCTATATTCTACTCGCTCGAGTAGCTATAGCGAGTACTCGTTACTTAATAGCTTATCGAGCGTCGAGTACTCGCTACTCGAAAGCGAGCGAGCGTCGAGTACCCTAAGCTTAGACTCCTCTAGCCTAATTAGCTTACGTACTTCTCCCGATAGTAAAATCCCGTAACTTCTCTACCGTATTTGTAATACTAGCTCCCTCCTTAGGTTCCTATCCTTAGGAATCCTATAACTCTAATTTCTATATAAATAATCGTAAGTCCCCCTATATTCTTCGTTATCCGTAATAGCTTCTTCTAAAACTAAAAACAAACTCCGTTATATAAACTAGATCCTTTAAAACTCCTTCCCTACTCTTGATCCTTATAACCTCTATCGCCGCTATAACCGTAACTACCTTTTTATCGCGGATTTCTCGATTATATCCTACGCTTAGTATACCTAGATAGGGAAACCTTACGTAACCTCCTCGGTCGCGCGTCTCGACGCTATAGCCGATAACCTCGCGAGTAAGATCTTAGCGGATAAAGAGAACGCTTCGAAGATAACGGACGAGCTCCTATTACTACTTAATAAAATCTAGAGGGTAAAGGCGCGTATAGCGCGGAATAAGATTATCTAGGAACAAAACAACTAGTAGTTAGATAAGTAGGTACGGTATATAGTTGAAAATACGCCTAAGGAGGAGAACGACGGCTTTTCTAAGGCTATCCGTCTCGGTACTTAGTTAGAGGTAGTTAGTACTCCGGATCCCTTCGTATAGGATTTTATACCTACTATAGATTCGAATTCTCCTCGTAAGGTCCCTAGTAGTTTAGGTTAAGGCGCGTTATCCCTTGTAAAACTCCCTAAGCTTCTACTAATATCCCGTTAGATTCCTTCGTAGTTCCTAAGTATTGTCTAAACTTGGGTATCCTTTCTACTTTACGAGGTATTCGTTCCCTCGTTTTCTAACGATCCTCTTAACCTCGAATTCGTCCTCCTCTTAAGGTTCGAAGTAGAACGTCGTCTATAGCGGTATACTACCGTCTACTAGTTCTAATATAGAGATATAGAATACTAGGTAGATCCTCGCGTCTAGCGGTAGATTAAGTCGGTAGTTCGTTAGTCCTTTAACTTCTAAAATCGAAAATAGTCCGACTTTAACGTAATCTAGTTTCTTCGTATTTCTCCTAGTCTTTAAATTCTTTATAAGGAGGAAGACCTTATCCTCCTTTTTTAGCTAAGGTGCCGTTTTTAATTCTCGCGATATCGATAATTACGACTACTAAGCCGAGATAGTAGTTATAGCTATCTTATATAGTTCTTTAAGGTTCGATACCTAGACTATCGCTCGGTCTATCTAGGGTCCTTCTCGAGCTTCTATAAATAGGTTCGGATTCTTTCCGAAGTTACTATAGAATAGTAATATCTACGTTGTTTCTAATATATTGTTATTAAGTGCAATTTGTACTATAGGTAGTAGCGCTACCTAATTGTCTTGTATATAATTGACGTAGTGTCTTAGATATATCTCTAGTAACTAGTTAGATCTCTTAGTCTATCTATCTATTTGTAGGTAGAAGGCTATTAATAGCTTATATCGTATCCCTATTACTATAACTAGGGTTTTCTAGTAGTTCGATATAAAGAGCTTGTCTCTATCCGTAATAAACGTCGTTAGTATTCTATAGTACCGTATTAATCTATCTAGAACTAGATATCCGAGTTGTTCTACCGTAATAGTTTCGCTATAGGGTATAAAGTACGAGTACTTCGTTAGCCTATTAACTATAACTAGAATCGAGTCGTAGCTATTTCCTATTACTAGTTCTTATAATTTTGGTAACTTGACGATAAAGTCTATCGTGACTTTATCCTATAGTCTTATTAGTAGTTCTCTAAACTAGAGGTTCCCGTATTTAGTATATCGTACGGCCTTATTCTTATTATATTATTAGTATCTCTTAATATAGGTAGTAACCTTCTATCTTATTCCTAGGAATATAAAGTTTCGTCGAATATACTCCGTTATTCTTACGATTCCGGGATATCCTATTATAGGTCTATCGTAGTAATCCCGGATATATTCTCGTTCCTTATCTAAGGGAACTTTAAGCCTTCTATACTATATCGGAAACTCCTCGTTATTATCTCTTAATACTCGTATTACTACGTTAAACTCTTATAGGTTCGCACTTAGCGATCCGTCTTTATTAACCTTTAGTATACGGTATTACTATAGCTTATATCCTTCTATATAGTCGCTTCGTCTACTTAGTACGTCGGCGCGCCTATTTTCTCGTCCGGGAGTATATACGATTTCGAATTAGTACTCTCCGAGTAGCTCTAACTATCTTACTTGCCGTCTAGTTAGAACCTTCGTTATCGTAAAGTATATTAGGTTCTTATAGTCGGAATAGATTATTAGTCTAGTAGCTCCTTTGTAGTATACTCTCTAGTGTCGTAATACTACGATAATCGCTAGTAGTTCCTTATCGTAGATTTCGTAGTTCTATTTAGTAGGTGTTATTTTCCTTAAGAAGTATACGATTAGGTACCGAGTCCTATCGAACTCTTATATAAGGTACGCTCCTATCGCTAGGTCGAAGGCGTTAGTTTTAACTTATATCGGTTTTGTTACGTTAAATATACGTAGCGTTAGTACTTCGCTATATACTTCCTTAAGCCTTTTAAAGGCTCTTCGCTAATCTATATCCTATTTGAATATCGTTTCCTTACGTATAAGGTTCGTAAGTAGTATTACTAGTTTCGAGTAGTCCTTTATAAACTTCCGATTATAGTTTATAAGTCTAAGGAACGCTTATATATCCTTAACGTTCTTAGGTACTAGCTATTCCTTAATCGACGTTATCTTTTCCGGATCGATCTTAATTCCGTTAGTTCTAATAATAAATCCAAGGAAGCTAACTTCCTTCTTAAAGAACTCGTACTTCTCGGGTATAGTTTTAAAGGTAGTCTTACTTAGTCGTTCGAGTATAGTAGCTACGTCCTTAATATACTATTCTCGGGATCCCTTAGTAAAGATAAGTATATCGTCGATATATACGATAACGGTAATATTAATAAGATCGCTTAAGACGTCGTTAATTATCCTTTAGTATATCGCTAGGGCGTTCGTAAGTCCTATTAGTATAACTAAGAACTCGTAAAGTCCGTTTCGCGTATAGAATACTATTTTCTATTCCTCTCCTTCCTTTATTTAGATTATAAAGAAGGCGTCTCGCAAGTCGATCTTAGAGTACTACTATACTCTATAGAAGTAATCGTATATCCGTTCGATCTATAGTATTAGGTATTAATCCTTAACGGTAATTACGTTAAGATCGCGAAAGTCGATAACCTTTCGTTATTTCCCTCCTTTCTTAGGTATAAAGAATACTAGTACCGTAAATAGTAATTTCGACGGTCGTATTTATCTACTAGTTTCTATTTTCTTAGTCTATTCTCTATCCTATTTAAGTACTACTAGTAAAAGCGGGTATATTAGCCGGTAAGGGGTCTTATATCCTAGCGTAAGCTAGATCTTATAAT